AAAGGGCCTGACCCATAACTGGCCCAGATGCTAACCTGGGGGGTCCAGGATTGATGGCGGCTGGTCATCAACTGAAAGACAAAGTTCACTTGGGTTAAGGGAGCCAGCCTTTGGTGGTGGGGGCCGAAGCAGGGCATGAGGGAGTGTCACTAGAGCTCACTGCAGCGCCTCAGGGCACAGTAGTCAAATGGGGTCTCTGGGTCCATTGTGTAGCACCAGGGCCCATGGCTATCCCCATCTGGGTTCCTGCAGAAGTTCTCCTCCAGTTGGGCATGAGGTTTGGAGGTAGACGTGAACCTAGGTAGGAGAGGGAGCAAAATCGTGGCAGGATAGTCTCAACCATCTCTAGGCTCTGGTCCCAGACACCAAAGCATGCCGCTCCAGGGTTAGGGCCCTGGCTCAGCCGGGAGCACCAGGGACTCACTGCGGCTTGTGTGGTGTCTCAGCGGACCAGTGCTGGCACTGGATACCCTTGCGGGTCTTGCTGACGGTGCCACGGTACTGCTCCCCTGTGCCATGGTAGCAGTCTGCAGCAGGTGGGGGCAGTCATCAGGCCAAGACCTTACCCCTGCCCCCCCCGCCCCTCATTTTCAGGATTCCAGGCCCGGCTCTGTGCCCCCCACCCGGCCAAGCTCGGGCCTCACCCTTGGGCCGCACATCGTCTGCACAACGCCGGATCTGGTAGCAAAAGGCCACACGCATGCCCGGCCGCAGTGTGAAGCACCAGGGCGCCTCTGAGCCATCAGGGTTCCGGCAGAAGTTCTCCCGAAGGTCTCTAAGTAGGCACTCCACTCAGCCCTAGCCCGCCAGCCGCCAGCCACCAGCCCTAAGTCCCGTAACTACCCTCCACCCATCTGACCCACAGCAGCACATCCCAGCGCCCGCCCCCACCTCACTTGCACGCGTATTTGTCGGGCACAAATCGGTGCTGATGCGGGGTCTGCGTGTCCCAACGCTGGCAAGGTACGCCAGCGGCAGTGGTATTGGCTGTGCCCCGGTAGCCCTCACCCTTTCCGCGGAAGCAGCTGACAGTCGTGGCCTCGTGGCGGGGCTGTGCCTCAGACTCTTAGATGGACCAAAACAGGTTGGACCCCAAGCGGGAGCTGTGATCCCTCTGGGGCTGAGACCAAACCTGCCTTTCGCAGGTGTACGGCACTCCACGGGATACGCTTTCAGGTCACGCCCAGCTCCTCTTCCCTCCCCACCCAAGTCACTCTCCCCCCAAAAGGTTCCCAGGTATCCTCCCAGACCCGGTCCCCACCGCCTACCACAGCGGGGGAGGTCACAGAACTCTCGCTCGAGCTGCGGATCTGTAGTGTAACACCAGGGCCGCTCGGAGCCGTCAGGATTCCGGCAATAGTTGTCGTCCAGACCTTGGTCAAGGAACCTGGGGTGGTAACGGGGCATGAACAAGACCCTGGAACTCCGGCTTGTCTGGCCCCGCCCAATTGCCCTACACGGGGCCTTGCTCCTGGAGTCCTGGACCTTCCCTAGCCCGGCCCCCAGGATGCCAAAACTGCCCACGCGTACTTGCCCGGCTCGAAGGGGTGCTGGTGTGGGTGCTGGAGATCCCAGCGCTGGCACTCGCGTCCTGACTCAGTGCGGTCCACTGCGCCGCGGTAATCCTCACCATTGCACCAAACACATACGGCTGGAGACAAAGGGCCAGTGGGTTCATGGATGGGCATGGGCCTGTCCCTCCACTCTCCAGGCTTGACCCAGCGCCGCTTACCCTCCCGGCAGGATTTGATGCCACAGCTCTGGAAGCGCACGGCAGGGTCTGTCGTGTAACACCAAGGACCTCCCGGGTCGCCATCAGGGTTACGGCAGAAGTTCTCTTCCAGGCCATTCCGGAGTGTGGGCGTGTACCTAGTGTCCAGAACATCACTATAATGTGTGCTGGGGGAAGGCCCCAGGCCGGAATGAAGGGAAGGTGTTTGTCTCACTTGTGATCATTTGGGAACTTGTGGCTCCAAGCCTGGCAGGGCAGGCCACTTGAGGTTGTAGCCACGGTGCCCCGGTACCCAACACCATTGTCCACAATGCAGGTCCGTATATAGTCTGGGAGCAAGAGACAGAAGATCAACTTGGGCTGAGATTCCCTCTCTCCCACCCTCACCCTCTCCACCTCCACTCACCTTTCTTTTGGAAGAGGTCACAGCGCCCAGAACGCTGCAGCCTCGTGTGGGGTGAGTGTTGAGTCCAAGGCAGCAGTTGGCAACCATGGCTGCTCACATTGTAGTGGAAGGCCCTGGGGAGAAGGCGGCACAGGGTAACACCACAGCCCAGGCTCTCCTGCCCCCAGTCTTATCTAGGCCCAGTGGCCACTCACCGGCAGTCCAGTAAGGGCCCACAGCGACCAGCACACTCTTCAGCATCTGCCACATCCTCCTGCCAAGGCCCAGGCACCTCTGCATGTAGCAGGTGCTGTAGCTCTGTGCCCCGGAGCACCTGGAAGTCATTCAATGGCGAGCGCTGCCCTGCAGATGGGCATGAGTGGGTGCAGGTCAGGTGGGCATACATGTCAGTAACATGTATTGGCATGTCCACACTTTGTTCATTCAGGGGACCAAAGCTACAAGGCCTTCTGGGATGGACCCTGTGTGCACTTTCAAGGGCCAGTCTAGCACCCCTGCACAGATACTTGTAAAGAAAATTTCTCCTGGGAAGCAGGCCCACACTTGGTAGTTATCACTGGTGCTTCTGTTTAGTGGCCTGGGCACTGGGCTCAGATCTAACATACACTCCGTGAGAGCAGTGGGTGATGAAGCTTGCCCCATCTCATCTCACAAATGAGAATGCAAACGCTCAGAGCCATCACATTACCTAGCCAGGGGCCCTGCCTAGGCATTCTGACTCCAAATCTGGGCTCTCACCTGCACAAAGGCATATGCTAGGTTAGAAGAATAGATCAGGCCCAGGAGGGGTCACTGCCTGCTGTCTCTGTGCATCTGTGTGGTCCTAACACTACTTCAGTGCTAGAGCAGATGTGCTAATAGAGGCCTAAGTGGGCAATGGGTATATGTTCCTAGGGCTTCCCAGCTGTGTTCGATGCCAAGGTCACTGCACCCTGCCCACTGAACCTCTGGCTCCCCAACTTTTCTCTCATCCTAGAATAGTAGGATGGGGCCAACCCCCTTCTGAAGGCAGATGGGGATCAGGGCCGGGGGCACTCACCAGGGACCCTTAAGCATTGCGTCATAAGCAGCAGGAGTGGGAACCATCCCATCCTTCTGGCTGGAGGCTGTACTGTGACCCACCACAGCCCCATCCGGGAAGTTGTGAAATCTGTCCCTACGGGATTGGGTGGCTCTGGCTCCACACATCAGGTCAAGGCCTGCTGGACCCTGACCTGAGACCTGGTGACAGGAGCCATGAGGGGCCAGACCTCAGGTCCCATAGGTCATGTTGGAAACATGCTTGGTGCCACAAAGAAAAATTAGCACTGAGACAAAGGATCTCTCAGCAAAGCAACTTTTACTTTTTACTTCCTGCACTGCAGGAAGAGTACCCTCTTGCTAGCCATTTTGCCATGAGAGTACAATGAACAAAGGAAAAGCAGACATATTTATCCCATAAGCATTTGAGGTTGTCTTTACTGCTGTGTCTGATCTCAGTTGGAGCCAGACCTCACAATCTAAAACCCGACTGGTTCCAATGGAGATCAGACCTCACAATCTAAAACCCAATTGGCTAATAACTTAAAACTTTTTAAAACAGGTAGGGGCACAGGCTGCGAGCTGGGACATGCCTGTGAGCATGTCCAGCACAGATATCTTGGTTAAAGTGCAAGGACACATACTATACTATGTGCCTGTAAGTGTGGCATGTCTAACAGCTACATAGGATAGGGCTTAACAAAGTCATTAGTACACTTACAATTTATTATTTAATAAGAAAGGAAACTCTGAAGAGTACCGAGAACCAGCTTGGCTGGGAGACTCCCACCCAGGTGGGCTGAAGGTATTGAGAGAGGCAGACACTCAACTAGCCAACAGAGTGGATCTATCCTGGGGAACCAACAGCCTGAGGGCCTGCGGGGCTTGCAGCTCTCCAGGGGCCCCCAGTGGAGAGTCATCCACACATTTATTTGCTCTTTTACAGGTGATTCTTATTAATACACAGGTGTTTTACGTAGACACATAACTCAGGATTATAATAAGTAGGCCGCTGTTACCTGCCTGCGACTAATTACAAACTACAAGGTATCCTCCACAAAGGAGACATAGGGGCAGGATAAACTTAGTTTCTCAACAGAAGAGGAACTCTTACTTCTCACAGGTCAATTGCATGGGACTAGTACAGCTAGCCCCCTGAGAGGCCTCCCTACTTAGTGGACAGGTGTTAGGAAGGTTTGGTGGGGACGCTTGAGGTGCTCTGGGGTTGGGGTGAAGCCCTTCTGCAGTCTTGTCAGCCCAAGGGCATTGTGAAAGTGAGAGCTGCCAGAGGTCGGGGGTCCAGCCCCTGGGTGACATTAAACTTTTCTGAACTTGTTTTTCCCTGTAAATTGGGGAAAATTACTTGCCCCAGCTCCAACATTGCCCAGCCCTCAACTTTTTTGCTGCCGCCTTATCAGGCCCCAGCTGTAGGCAGGTCATCCTACGCCCGGTAGCAGGGCCCAGGGAGGAGGCCTATCTCATCCGCCAGAAGTGTCATCCCAGGGAAGGTGAGCGAGGCTGTACGCTAGGACTAAGTAGGGGTGGAGGTAACAGGTAGCAGGGCTCTGGCAGGAGCGGACTTTCAGACATCCTAAGAAACATCTGAGGTGGGCCTCCAAGTACAGGTAGGAGTTGAGACAGGCGGCCTAAGGATTCAGGTTAGTACGTCGCGTTCTGCCACAGCAGCACTGGAAGCAACCTCAGGGCAGGCGGAGGTCTGATGTGGTGAGGCTTCTGGCGAAGCTGAGGCCTGGAACAACTCGGTGGGAGAACGTGGAAGGGGTCCACTAGCGGAGGCTGGGCACGGGTCAGTGCGCGTGCGCGGCTGGAGGGCGGTGCGCGAGCGTGCGCGTGATTTGGCCCTAGACGGATGCCGTAGCCAAGAGGTTGGGCGGATGTTGTGAGCCGGGTCGCCGCGGCCAAGGCTCGGGGTGAGTGAGGGGCGGCCAGGCTCTGTGCCTGGCGGGTCCGGGCGGCTCCCTTCGCGGCCCAGGCTAGTCCAGTGTGAGGGCACCTCAGCGTAGGGATCGTGGCCTGTGGTGCGAGACTCCGAGCGGGAGCTGGTCTGGCAGGTCCTCTGGAGCTTGGGGCCAGGCGGGGGCGACTTGGGGGAGTCATGCGCCGCCCTGGCTGTCCTTGGGCTCCCAGACGGAGTAGGTTCAGTTCTGACCTCGGATACCTCGGCGGGGCTGGACAGGATAGCCATGACAGGAAGTCTTCGGGCGGGCACAGGGTCCGCCTCTCACCTGGATCCTTAGCAACTGACACCCCGAGTGGGTGTCTGGAAGGTTTGCTCATCAAATAAATGACTGCGTTTAATCAGACCTTCAGTTACTCTGGTAGTGAGAGGGGCACCGATCATAGACGCCCACCGAGGGCCCGAGGTCGGGAAAACCACCTTCCCAAGGGGCAGGTGTGGTGCAGACCCGAAAGGGTTTGGCGGTAGTAGAGGGGCTGTTTGGGGTGAGATAAGAGACAGAGCTGCAGAGTAGGGAGTGCTGGCTAAGGCAGACCTGCGCTTTCTAATACAACTTTCTATGATGGTGGAAATGTTCTATCTTTGTGCTGTCCAATAGAGTAACCATTAGCCACATGTGGTCACTGAACTCTTGAAATGTGGCTAAGGCAACTGAGAAATCGAATTGTTAGTTTTTAAAACTTTCAATTTAAGTTACTTCATGTGGATGGTGGCTGCTATGCTGGATAGCACAGCTACACATCAGTGAGGCCAGCACCAGGGACTTAGTGCAGGTTCTGGAGCAGCTGCAATGGCAACGTGATAAGAGAGATTGCTGCAGTAGAGGACCAATGGAGTTTGCCATGAGGGCTGGGCAAGGGTGGTGCTTGGATGAGATGGGAGGCCACATGTGTGAGTGGGAACAGGAAAACTTTCAGGACCATGGATAAAAAAAGGGAGGAACCCAGGGCTGAGGAAAGAGGCCACAGCCTTGTGAGGAGTAAGTGAGACTTACGGCTAAAGATGACCAGACTAGTGGTGGTCTGCACTTGGAGGAATGTGTAGGATTCTCTCTTCTGGATGTGAGCTGGACCCAGTTTGCTTACAACAGATGGATACAGGGGGTCTGCCTCTAGGACACCTCACTTTGGACATTTTGGTCTGATTTCCACAGAGCTGAGACATTTAGTTATGGTTCGGCAAAAATATATCTGGTACCTGCTCTCTGCCAGGCCCTGTGCTTGACATAGGGACACTGGAGAACAAGAAGTGTGGGGCCTAGACCCCGGCGACCCTCCCTGTGTAGGAAGCTGGGAGCCCCTGCATTCCCCTGCCCTGTGTGTTAGTGTGCATGACCTTGGCCTCACCTGCTCCCAAACCTTCCTGCTGTGGCAGGACTGAGGTCAGGTGTGAGGGCCCATGGCTGGCCCTGAGTAGACAGGCTCTATGTCTGGCTCAGCCTCCAGGACGACTGACTGCCCATGAGAGATGAAGGATGGCATCCAAGGGGGCCGGCATGTCTTTCTCCCGCAAGAGCTATAGGCTGACCTCAGATGCTGAGAAATCCAGGGTCACAGGTAAGGGCTGGCAGGGAAGGAAGGAGGCTCCTCTTGTTGGGAGGAGAATGAAGGGACAAAGGCCTCAGGCCTTGCTGCACCTGTGGCTGGCCTGGGACCAGCAGAGGCCAGGAGCTGCACTGATCATTTGGCCCTTTTCTCCCTTCTGACTTGTGGCTCAGGCATTGTGCAGGAGAAGCTGCTGAATGACTACCTGAACCGCATCTTTTCCTCTTCTGACCATGCACCCCCAGCAGCCACCAGCAGGTATGGCTGGGCGGGTGGCCCCTCCTCACTCTGCTGGGCCAGACCAGAGCAGGGAAGCTGCAGTTGTAGGGAAAGGGAGCCTGGGCTCTGGACAGACAGGCTTAGGATCTGTTCTCACTGTGCTCCTGGCTATGAGATCTCTGGCCAGAGAGTCTGCCTTCTTTACTCTGCTTCTTTCTCTCTCCAGGCAGTGCTAGTTCCTTCTGAGAGTCATGGAGCAGAGGTCAGGGAGTGGGTGCACATTCCATGCCCACCTAGCACCTGCCACATACTCCACACGCAGTATCTGGCCCTGAATGTACCTGCCCACACCTTCGCCCCAGCCTGGGCCCTTGTAGCTTCTGACTGACCTTGTAAAGAACAAACCCTTCCAGGACCTTTTCTTTACAAGTTTCATACTATTAAGTGTAGTCAGTATAAAAGTTACAAGTACATTTTAGCAGAAACAGGAAGAGATAGAGGGCCAGGCAGAGTGGTTCACACCTGTAATCCCAGTACTTTGGGAGGCCAAAGTGGGTAGAGTGCTTGAGTCCAAGAGTTCAAGAACAGCTTGGGCAACATGGTGAGACCCCATCTCTACAATAAAATACAAAAATTTTAACTGGGCATGGTGGCATGCACCTGTAGTCCCAGTTATTAGGGAGGCTGATATGGGAGGATCGCTTGAGCCTAGGAGGTTGAGGCTGCAGTGAGCTGGCCTCTGCATGCCATTGCACTCTAGCCTGGCTGACAGAGCAAGACCCTGTCTCAAAAAAAAGAAGGAAAAGCACCTGCTATCTTGTTATTCTAACATAACCATTCGAATGTAATTCTTTTCTGTTTTCTTTGTGTTAAATGTTTAATTTTTGTGATTATGTAGTTAGTATATATATTTGTGGGGTACATGAGATACTTTGATACAGGCACGCAATGCATAACAATCACATCATGGTAAATGGGGTAGCCATCTCCTCACGCATTTGTCCTTTGTGCTATAAACAATTCAGTTATACTCTTTTAGTTATTTTTTAATGTATGATTATTATTTATTATAGTCACCCTCTTTGGCTAGCAAATATTGGGTCTTATTAATTCTATGTTTTTGTACCCGTTAGCCGTCCCCACCTCTCCACAAGCCCTATACTACCCTTTCAAGCCTCTGGTAACCATTCAGTACTTTGCCTCTATGAGTTCAATTGTTTTAATTTTTAGCTCTCACAAATAAGTGATAATATGCAATGTTTGTCTTTTTCTGCCTGGCTTGTTTGACTTAACATAATGACCTCCAGTTCCATTCGTATTGTGGCAAGTGGTAAGATCTCATTCTTTTTTATGGCTGAATAGTACTCCCTTGTATATATGTACCATGTTTTCTTTCTTTCTTTTTTTTTTTTTTGAGACGGAGTTTCGCTCTCGTTACCCAGGCTGGAGTGCAATGGCGCAATCTTGGCTCAACGCAACCTCTGCCTCCTGGGTTCAGGCAATTCTCCTGCCTCAGCCTCCTGAGTAGCTAGGATTACAGGCACACGCCACCATGCCCAGCTAACTTTTTGTATTTTTAGTAGAGACAGGGTTAACCATGTTGACCAGGATGGTCTCGATCTCTTGGCCTCGTGATCCACCCGCCTGGGCCTCCCAAAGTGCTGGGATTACAGGCTTGAGCCACCGCGCCCAGCTGTTTTTTTTTTTTCCTTCTTTCTTTTTTTTTTTTTGAGACAGAGTCTTGTACTGTTGCCCAGGCTGTATGTAGTGCCGTGGCACAATCTCAGCTCACTGCATTATCTGCCTCCTGGATTCAAGCAATATTCTGCCTCAGCCTCCCACCAAGTAGCTGGGACTACAGGCATGTGCCACCATGCCCAGCTAATTTTTTTTTTTTTTTATTTTTAGTAGAAACAGAGTTTTACCATGTTGGCTAGGATGGTCTTGATCTCCTGACCTCGTGATCTGACACCTCGGCCTCCCAAAGTGCTGGGATTACAGGCGTGAGCCACCTCGCCCGGCCATGTTTTCTTTCTTTATTCATCTGCTGATGGACAGTTAGACTGCTTCCAAGCCTTAGCTATTTGAACAGTGCTGCAACAAACATGGGAGTACAGATATCTCTTCAATGTACTGATTTCCCTTCTTTCAGGTATATACCCAGCAGTGGGATTGCTGGATCATATGGTAGCTCAAGTTTTAGGTTTTTCTGAGACAGAGTTTTGCTCCTATTACCTAGGCTGGATGGCAATGGCACGATCTCGGCTCACTGCAACCTCCGCCTCCTGAGTTCAAGTGATTCTCCTGTCTCAGCCTCCCGAGTAGCTAGGATTACAGCTGCCTGCCACCACGCCCGGTTATGTTTTGTATTTTCAGTAAAGACAGGATTTCACCATGTTGGCCAGGCTGGTCTCTCACTCCTGGTCTCAGCTGATCCTCCCACCTCAACGTCCCAAAGTGCTGCAATTTCAGGCATGAGCCACATACCCGGGGAATATTCAGTTTTTTGAGGAACCTCCAAACTGTTCTTGATAGTGATTGTACTATTATAATTTACATTCCTACTAACAGTGTACAAGGACTCCCTTGTTCCACATCCTCACCAGCATTTGTTATTCCCTGTCTTTTGGATAAAAGCCTTTTTAACTGGGGTAAGATGATATCTCATTGTAGTTTTGATTTACATATCTCTGATGTTGAGAGTTTAATACCTTTTCATATGCCTGTTTGCCATTTGTATGTCTTCTCTGGAGAAATGTCTGTTCATATTTTTTTGCCCATCTTTTGATAGAAATTACTAGGTTTTCTTCCTATAGAGTTTGAGCTCTTTATATATTCTGGTTATTAATCCCTTGTCAGACGAGTAGTTTGCAATCCCATTTGTGGGCTGTCTCTTCACTTTGTTGACTGTTTCCTTTGCTGTGCGGAAGCTTTTTAACTTTATGTCTGTTTTCTTTATTTCATAATGTATGTAGTTCAAATTATGCTGTATAGAAAACTTAAAAAAAATTGTCACCTTCAGTTCTTAAAACATTTTTATTGAGCTATGATTAATGTACAATAAACTACACATATTTAAAGTGTACAATTTGATAAGTGTTAACATATATATAAGCCATGAAACTGTCACTACCATCAAGGTAATGGACATGTCCCTCGCTTCCACAAGTTTATAGAAATTTGCATCCCATTTGTATCATCAAATATTATCCCATGAGTATTTTTCCACATTATCAATTTATCTTACTGAACATCTTTAGGGCCAGGGGTCTGCTGTGGCCTATACAACTGCTCTAGTTTGGAAACACTTTTGCTTTTGTAAACAATGCTGTGAGGATGCCCAGGGCTGGAGTCATGTGGCTAGAGTGCTTGAACTGCAATCACTTTTAAGACTGTTGCCAGAGAGCCAGGCGCAGTGGCTCACGCCTGTAATCCCAGCACTTTGGAAGGCCAAGGTGGACATATCACCTGGGGTCAGGAGTTCAAGATCAGCCTGGCCAACATAGTGAAACCCCCTCTCTACTAAAGATACAAAAATTAGCCCGGCATGATGGCGGCTGCCTGTAATTCCAGCTACTCAAGAGGCTGAGATGGGAGAATTGCTTGAACCCGGGAGGTGGGGGTTGCCGTGAGCCGAGATCACACCACTGCCCTCCAGCCTGGGCGACTGCGTGAGACTCAGTCTCAAAAAAAAAAAAAGATTGTTGCCAGATTATTTCTTCAAAGGATCAAGTAGGTTCTCCCTCCCTGCAGTGAGGCACAGTTGTCCCTGTCTCTCACCCCGTCAGCAGCCTTAGCTGTTATGTCTTTCACAACCTCTGCTCTTTAGGCAGGTCCAAAAGGCAGCATCATTACCTGTTCTATTTAAGCAGCTGTGGTGGTTAGAAAGTTCCTTCTTGCAGAAGGTTCCTGCCCACCCCCACCTCATACTCTGTCCTGGCCGGTTCCCAGGGCCATCTGATCCCTACCTCATGTGATACCAGAGATGGTCCTGCTGCTGCTGTGGCCGCCAGGAGAGAGAGCAGGTGGTAGGGCCATCAGTCAGTAGTTGTGGAGATGCAAGGCACTGAGCTGGGAACTAGGAGACCCAAAAAGGTCAGGCAAATTGCTGGTGTTGGCCAAATGGGCAGTGCTGCAGTCACTCAGTGGTGGCCTTCTCAGGCTGACTAGCCACAGATAAGTGCAGTCTGCTCTCAGGGATCAGGCACACAACTTTTGGGGTCAGGTATAAGAGTAGTTGTCCCAAGTATGGACCTGTTAACTTTTTTTTTCTTTTGAGACAGGATCTCGCTATGTCACCCAGGCTGGAATGCAGTGACATAATCATAGCTCACTGTAACCTCAAAGTCCCAGGCCCGAGGAATCCTCCCATTTCGGCCTCCCACATAGGTGGGACCACAAATACATGCCACAGCAACCGACATATATATATTTAGAGATAGGATCTTACTATGTCACCCAGGCCGGCCTCAAACCCCTGGGCTCAAGTGATTCTTCCACCTCAGCCTCCCAAAGTGCTGAAATTACAGGTGTGAGCCACCATGCTTGGCCTAGAACTGCTTTTAAGGAAGGTTTCTTTATCCTTGGGCCCACTGGGGTATTCAGAGATGGGGCTGACTTTAGCCTTCTGTGCTACTAGCTGAGCACCCTGACTGCATAGCCACCACCTGGTCTTGGCCTGGGACTGAGCAGGAATGGGAAGGAGCCTTTGTGCATCTGCTCGTATAGCTCAGGCCTGGGAGTGGCTTACACTGGGGGAATATGTGGTCCCTGAGCCTGGGTAGTGGCTACCTTGTCAGGGTGCTTTGTCCCATCTTTGTCCCCTTCCAGAGGCTTCTATTTGTGTGGATGAGTAGGGCAGGAACTGGCATTAAAGGTGGAAGAGCAGGTGGTGGCAGTCTGTGGGCTGGATCCAGGTGTAATGGGCCTCTGTTCTGCCTGAGTCCTGCTGGTTACCGCCACCTCACTCCCTGCTATTCTTAGCAGCTGAGCTCAGGACAGCGCTGACATGGCATTAGACAGCACCAATTTCCCTCTAGGCATGTGTGTTGAAAGGATGAGGGGCCACCCAGATAGATTTTTCCCTACTCCTTTGGCTGGGGTAGGTGGGACATGTGCTTTACTGACCATTTATGGACAGAGCCAGCCAGCAGCTCAGAGGGCTGAGCCTTTCATACTTCCAGCACATGTCTTATTCAACACAGACTCCCCTGGATGGGTGATGGTGAGACTGGAATCTGCCCCAAAGGAACCACAGGCCTAGGGGCAAGGGCTGGACTAGGTGGCCTTGGTACTGACCACTTTGGGAACCAACATTTCTCCCAGCCTTCTTCCAGACATCATCAACACAGGCACCTTTGAGAGTGGGCAGGTTATGTGCTAGGCTGGCAGCATGTGTTATTCCCTGGGGTTTTCACAGCATCTCTGACATAAAGCCATTATTCCGTTTTTACAGATGAAGGAATTAAGACTTAAAGAGGGCTACTTTTTTTTTCTTTTTTGAGATGCAGTTTTGCTCTGTTGCCCAGGCTATACTGCAGCGGCGTGATCTCGGCTCACTACAACCTCTGCCTTCTGGGTTCAAGCAATTCTCCTGCCTCAGCCTCCCAAGTAGCTGGGATTACAGATAGGCACACGCCACCACGCCTGGCTATTTTTTGTGTTTCTGGTAGAGGCGGGGTTTCACTATGTTGGCCAGGCTGGTCTTGAACTGCTGACCTGATGATCCACCCACCTTGGCCTCCCAAAGTGCTGGGATTACAGGTGTGAGCCACTGCACCTGGCCCCTATTTTTTTTTTAACAGTCCTGAGGTGCACCAAATTGGACTGGTTATACTTTTTTTTGGATGGGGGGGATGGAGTCTCACTCTGTCGCCCAGGCTGGAGTGCAGTGACATGATCTTGGCTCACTACAACCTCTGCCCCCCGAGGTTCAAGCAGTTATCCTGCCTCAGCCTCCCAAGTAGCTGGGATGACACATACGTGCCACCACACCCAGCTAATTTTTGTATTTTTTGTGGAGATGGGGTTTTACCATGTTGGCCAGGCTGGTCTCGAACTTCTGACCTCAAGTGATTTACCCACTTCAGCCTCCCAAAGTGCTCAGATTATAGGCATGAGCCACCATGCCCAGCCTAGACTGGTTATACTTTTGAGTTTAGCATAGAATCCAACCTTCTGACCTCCCAAATGCCAGAGTCAAAGACTGGGCACAGCTCTTTTTCTGGAGTCTAGGCAGCCCCAATCTGAACTCAGGGGAGGGGATGGTATTTAGTGTCATCTGGCTGATTTCAAGGACTTGTGGACCCCTGGCAGCCTCTCACTCTCCCCAGGAAACCCCTGAACTTCCAGAACCTGCCAGAACATTTGGACCTTTTGCTACAGGTGGACGATGAGGAAGAGGAAAGCCAGGGTATGTGGCCGCCTCTGGAGTGGGGTTGAGAGGTCCAGGGCTGGGACCTGTGGGGCCTGGAGATGTCTGGTGAGCTCAGGACTCCCTATGCATCCTGTCAGACGCTCTGCCCTTCCTGACCCCCTGCTCCCCTTTTCAGGACAGGTTGAAGGGCGGCTTGGCCCATCCACTGTGGTCCTGGATCACACAGGCGGCTTCGAGGGGCTTCTCCTGGTAGATGATGACCTGCTGGGGGTGAGTGAGGGTGAGGTGTGGAGATGCAGATCCAGCCCCTTCTGACAGCCCCAAGCTCCTCCTGATGTGGCCCTAGCCTCTCATCTTGATGAGGCTGCAGCCAAAAACATGTCCTGATGTGGCCCCAGACTGTTGTGTTCTCAGTCCTCAGGCTCTGAAACAGTCTTGATGTGGCCTCAGTTCCCAGCCCTCCCGAGCACGGCCCCTCTCTCATCTTTCCCCTGGCCCAGGATCCCTCCCGATACAGGCCTGCCCCCTCCCACTGTCTTCAGGCACAGTGCAGTGTTGGCTAATGCAGGCAAATACCAGCAGGGCTGACTCAGTTGGAGATGGGGTCTTTTCCCCCTGGGGAGATGCTCTGTTTACCTGGGAGGAAGCCTACTACCCCTCTTCTTCACCCAGGTGATTGGACACAGCAACTTTGGCACCATCCGCTCTACCACATGCGTGTACAAAGGTGAGACCCTACTCTGCTGTGGCCCAGGTAGTTGGGAGAAAGTTTGAGGGCCCAGGCTTGAGGCAGGAGGCAGTCTTTGTCCACCTTGTGGGCCTAACTCGGCTCTTTCCAGGGAAATGGGTCTACGAGGTCCTCATCTCCTCTCAGGGGCTCATGCAGATTGGCTGGTGCACCATCAGCTGCCGCTTCAACCAGGAGGTACATGTGGGGGAGGGGACCCCTCCCTGGGCCCAAGGAGAGCTTCTGCCACAGGCCTTATCAGGGCTCTGGAGCCCCTCAGACCTGCCCAGGACCCTAATCTGGACTGCCCTCTGGAGAAGAAACATGTCCCACCCCATCCCAGGCACCCCAGCTCAGAAAATACCCCTTACTCTTTGCCTTAGATCATTTGTTCCCTTCTCTAGAGCCATATGGGTCCAAGGCTGGTGATTGGTGGGCTCTGGCCCAGCCCCTGTCTGCCTCACCAGGGACCTCACAGGCAGTTCCTCCCTAGGAAGGGGTTGGAGATACACACAACTCCTATGCCTATGATGGCAACCGTGTGCGCAAGTGGAACGTGACCACAACGAATTATGGCAAGGTGAGAGCCAAGCCCCCTGTGGGTCATCCATCCCATGACTGTCACTACAACTTATTTGGAGCCACTGGGCAGCCATAAGGGACTATAGGGCACCAGGGAAGGGTCAGGGACCCAGGTCCTCTGTTTTTGTGGCCAGTCTCCACTGGGTGGTTCTGGAAACACAGCTGGGGTGAGCCAGCAGGCCGCTGGGCTTCTGTGCCTCTATGAGGCTTCCTCTCGTGGCAGGCGTGGGCAGCGGGGGACATCGTGAGCTGTCTGATCGACCTGGATGATGGCACGCTGTCCTTCTGCCTGTGAGTTGCCTATCTCTACGCACAGGCCTGGCCTCTGGGGCCTCCCCAGCCTGCCCTGCTGTAAGGGGCCAGGTGGAGATTGATAGCCTGAGCGTGGGCAGGCATATGCTTCTTAGCACTGGCTCACAGACCCACCCTTCTCCCCCAGGAACGGTGTATCACTGGGCACTGCCTTCGAGAACCTATCCAGGGGCCTGGGCATGGCCTACTTCCCAGCCATCAGCCTTTCTTTCAAGGAGTCTGTGGCCTTCAACTTTGGCAGTCGTCCTTTGCGATATCATTTTAGGAAGATGGCTGTGGGCTGCCAAGAAGCTCTTGGGGAAACTGGGATGAGGGCTCCCTACCCCAGGGTTGTGGTGGGCTGGTGGCAGGCCCCGGCTGCTACAGAGTGAGTAGGAGACAACTTTCCTCACAGCAGCCTGGTTGGTTGGGTGCCCTTGTCTCCATTAACAGATGAGGAACTTGAAGTGTCCTCCCTAGGGAGAATTAAGTAGGTGAGTTGTGATGCAAACCAGGCCTGCCTTAGAGACCAGGCCCCTCAGGGTTGTCAGTGGGGAGGGATAGTGGGCATGACTGAGCCATAGATAAGGTGTTGCTGGCTTAACTCTGTGGCACCTACCCAGTGGCGGGCTACCGGCCCCTGCAGGACCCACCTAGTGCTGACCTGGTGCGGGCACAGAGGTTGCTGGGCTGCTTCCGGGCAGTGTTGAGTGTGGAGCTGGACCCCGTGGTGAGCTGAGGTCTGGGCCAGGTGGGCTGGGGGCCTTCCTTAGCCTCCTGCCCCTCACACTTCTCCCTCCTCCCCCTCCACACAGGAAGGGCAGCTGTTGGACAGGGAGAGCTCCGAGTGGCGGTTGCGGGGCCAGCCCACTGTCCTCCTCACACTGGCCCACATCTTCCATCGCTTTGCACCGCTCCTGGTGAGCGGCATTGGGAGGGGAGGAGGCAGGCCTTGCCAGACACACCCATGTAGATGTGTCCTCACTAGGGGCTGCGGTGCTGAGGTGCCCGTAGCATCACCTGGCAGGAGCCCTATGTGACCAGGGCCCTCAGACCTCAAAGTTGGTCCCCCAGGGGAACAGGGACATTGCCAGCCAAGGGCATCAGGGAATGTCCTGGAAAGAAGACTGAAGGGTAATAACATCACAGGCCAAGGAAACTGCGTGTGCCAAGCCCTAAAGGAGCCATGGGGCAATGGCCTTCTTGTCCCTCAGTCAGAACCCGGAAGGGCTCGTCTATGTTTGGTGTTACTTGAGTGGCTCAAGGCCCTATGCCTGAGACTGGAGCCCTCGGCGTGGCCTCTGCCATGTGCCAGGGCAGGGGTGCCTTGACCAGAGTGGAAGGCCACCACCTCACCAGTGCCTGGCCTTGGTGCAGCGCAAGGTGTACCTGGTGGAGGCTGTGCTCATGAGCTTCCTGCTGGGCATCGTGGAGAAGGGCACACGCGCACAGGCACAGTCCGTGGTGCACCAGGTCCTGGACCTCTTGTGGCTCTTCATGGAGGTGAGGCTCCTGACCTCAGGCCTCAGGCCTGGCTGTCAGTCTTCACTGGGTTTGGGAAGATACGGGGAGAATCTTGGAAAAGGCCCCAAACATGGCTGCCCTGGCATCTCTCCCCCAGGACTATGAGGTACAAGATTGCCTCAAGCAGTTGATGATGTCTCTGCTTCGGCTGTACCGGTTCTCACCCATCGTCCCAGACCTGGGCCTACAGGTGGGAGCACCTGCCCCTGTCCTGGCCCCCCTGGAACTCCCCTGTCCACTCTGAACACCCCCTCTCCACAGATCCATTACCTACGGCTCACTATCGCCATCCTGAAGCATGAGAAGTCCCGCAAGTTTCTGCTTAGCAACGTCCTGTATCCTCCCCTTGCTGCCAGGCAGGCCAGACATGGGGTGCCCTCTGGGCTCAGCAGAGGCCAGGAAGGGGAGTGTCCATCAGGCCAGGGGTCCCCTGGTAGGATCAAGAGGACTAGAGCTGCCCCACATGTGGCACTTTCTCTACGGAGCAAGGAAGGGAGAGCAAGGACTGAGCTTGGCCAGCCAGCCTAAACAGGGGCTTCCAAATGAATGCAGACTTGGGTATATGGAGGTGTGGGTGGGGCCACAGGGCCTGCCCTCTTCAGCCACAGCCAGCACTTTTGTCCAGGTTCCACAGTGGGGATTCCTGCAAGATCTTCTTTAAGGAGGCAGCTCTTTCTGCTTCCCAGAAATGTGAACTGCATGAATGAGAAAGAGCCTAGTTCTAAGCCCCTGGCTGGGAAGCCTGAGCTTGTAGCCATCTTCTTGGTCTGGGGTCTTCCAACCTCTAGGAGGCAGACACAAAGTTGGGAGACACAGAGGTCAGAGTTGGGACATGAGAAGAGGCTACCAGGCCCTCTCTCCAGCTTGTCCCATGGTCATCTGTTCCTGTGACAAGCCCTTGTCATGCACTTGCTGGGTACTGGACTTGGTGGGCTTGACAGCCACAGCCTTTTGTCAGGGAGCATGCCCTGGGGGTCAGACACATAGCAGCGATGGCCCCTGTAGTGGTGGGAGAGCTGCGGTAGGCACATCTGGGGATGGGCTCCGGGGAGGACTCGAGGATGTGCGGACTGCCCTTTGGTGAGCAGAGCCCTGCCTTGACACCCGCCAGCTTCGACGTGCTCCGCTCCGTCGTGTTCTTTTACATCAAAAACCCCCTGCGTGTGGAGGAAGCTGGCCTGCAGGAGCTCATTCCCACCACCTGGTGGCCCCACCGCTCCAGTAGGGAGGTGAGTGCACCCCCAGTAGGATGGGCAGAGGTCATGGCGAGGGCTGGCCTGGGTGCCTGGCCACTGGGCACCTAGCATGAGGCCTTTTCACTGGCCCTGGTCCCTGGAGCCCTGGGGATGGGATGTGGGTGTTCTGTGTAAAGTAGGCCTGTCTAGGTCCCGGGTGACCCTGCTGTCTTCCTCCCTCTACCCCTGCATAGGGCAAAGAGAGCACGGAGATGGAGGAGACAGCAGAGGAGCGGCTGCGGCGGCGAGCCTACGAACGGGGCTGCCAGCGGCTCAAGAAGCGCATTGAAGGTGGGCCCTACTTGGGCACGGGGTCGGGTGGGAGGTTTATGTGTGCACGTGAGGATGCTTGGAGGTGCCCATGCCTAGGTGGGACTTGGGGAACCCTGGTGGTGGAGTTCTGACCCAAGCCTGCACCCTATCCCCTGGAGCCTGAGGCCGTGTTCCTCACCTCACCCCTAGTGGTGGAAGAACTACAGGTCCAGATCCTGAAGTTGCTGTTGGACAATAAAGATGGCAATGGGGTGAGTGACTCCCAGGCCCCTGGGTGGGGCTCTGTGGGGAGGGATGCTGCACTGGGCCTTAAGACCTAGAGGGTGGGGACTGGCTCTGGTTCCAATGGCAGGGGCCAGGAGAAGGTGCAGCGCTGAGCCAGCCCAGTCTGGGCCTGCATTCTCAGCTCAGCACAGCCTCACTTTTCCCTCCCTCAAAGGGTGAGGCTTCTAGGTACATCTTCCTGACCAAGTTTCGCAAGTTTCTGCAGGAAAATGCCAGCGGCCGCGGGGTAGGTGTCCTTTGGGCCAGCCCCCTGTGGACCCCTGGCTGCACTGCACAGGCCACGCCCTCAGCACCTAGCACCTCTCGGGCTGCCTCATCCCTGCCTAGCCCTGAGCTTTTCTCTGCTGCTCTTCCCTCCCTGCTCAACCCTCGACCCTTGGGCAGGGCCTTGGATGAGGAATAGATGGGTCACTGGGCTGGCACCAATGCATGTTTTCTGCCTGGTACCCACAGAACATGCCCATGCTCTGCCCCCCCGAGTACATGGTCTGCTTCTTACACCGACTGATCTCTGCCCTGCGATACTATTGGGATGAGTACAAGGCTTCCAATCCCCGTGCTTCCTACAGTGAGGGTGAGTGGCACTGGGACCCCAGGTCAGTGAGGCTGGATAGAGCCAGGCATGGGGTAGCCCCTAGTGTTAGTACGGAGTGCTGAGCTGAGGCTGGGGGCTGCAGGGAGCTGTCCCCAGCATCCTGCCTAGTTGAAGCTGTAGGTGGCTTCTCCACTGGGGCAGCAAGAACCCTGCACCCCAGGCCTGCTGATCCTGTGTTTGCTCTGACTGTCCCATGAGTGCCTACCGTTATGGGCTCTTTTCCTTGGTCCTTGCCCCCCGTTTCTCTGTGCAGTCCTTTATAGGGCTGCCTTGGGTGGGTGGTGGGGGGCCCTGTGTTTGAGTCCCCAAGGGTCAGTGGGATCCTTACCTGCCCTGGATTGCAGGATATCCCACAAGGCTGGGGCTGGGCCTCTGTTTCTCCTGAGTGAACGGCTACCATGAGTGCCCCATCTCCCCAGGTTGTGCAGCTGCTGGCTCTGACCTGAAATAGCAGGGGTGGAGAGGAGGAAGGGGAAGTCTGGGTTCTGGTTCCTCTGTCTGCCAGGGTGAGTGGGTAGACAAGGCCAGAATTCCCAGGCTGTGCTAGGCCAGACTAGAAGGGAGGTCTGTGGGGAGGGTCTTCCTGCTGGGACCTGACCACTGGCCCGGCCTCTTCACTCCTCGCAGAGGCCTACATCCCACCCCAGGTTTTCTATAATGGCAAGGTGGACTACTTTGACCTGCAGCGCCTGGGGGGCCTCCTCTCCCACCTGCGGAAGACCCTCAAAGGTGTGTACAGGCCTGTGGGCAGGGAGGAGGTCTGGGGCCACGTGGGGGATAGTCCCTGAGCCTGCTCTGCTATGGGTGCTGAGCCATCCTGTGCCCACCAGAGGGTGCCCGAGTCCTTTTACCTGCTCAAGCAGGTAAGATGCTGATCTGCCCACCCCACATCTGGGCAGCTTCTCCTTCCCTCCAGCACCCACACCATAGGGGTCAGGTGTGCCTGGCAGGGGACCAGGGATCTTGGTGAGGTGTGGGTGGGACATGCAGGTGCTGCCAGAGCTGCCTTCAGGGATGAGCACAAGCTGCTCTGGTGCAGGGCTGGGGGCACAGACAGAGCAAGGCCCTGAGCCAGGCATGAGGGTGGGTCTGTGTGGTCAGAACCTCTGTCTGGCTGCCACAGTGTGGACACTGGAGTGCAGGCTGAGGGACAGGAGGCTAGGTGTCCAAACACAGGAGATGAGGGCCTGCCCCAGGGAGGTAGGTGAAGGCACAGGTGGAGGAGAGGAGTCAGGATGACTCCAGGCTTTCTGCCAGAGGTTGTGTGGATGGATGGGGCACCATCAGGGAGAGGGGCTGCAGGAGATGGCAAGATGACAAAGTCTGCGCTGGACACAGCACATTTAGCTGGGAGCAAGGCCTGGGCTGGAGGCAGCGAAGGCGGGGTCAGCTGTCAGCATAGAGGTGGGGATGAGCCTGGGACAAGGCTTGGCTCCCCCAGGGAGTGCCCAGAATGAAGCGGCCCTGGCAGCTCCTTTTGTTCATGGAGTAGTCAGAGAGTCGGAGAGGCTCTGGAGAGTAGGAGGTCCTGGGAAACAAAGACAGGGACCTGCAGGAAGGGTGTGATGGGGAAGGCCTCCTGCTACTGAGTGGTGGCTAGACAGGGGACCTGGGAGATGCAGAGACAAGGCTGGGTGGAGGAGGTGGAGGAGGTGGAGGGGTGAGGGGCAGATACCATGCTAAACTGGGCTCTGCGAGGCCTACTGCCCAACCTGCTGGGCTTTCTCACCATCCTGGGCACTTCCACAGTGGCCCCTCATGCTACCATTGGCCTGAGAACCCTCCTGCTCTTCCTCCCAGATGACCTTGCTTCCAAAGCCAACATTGTGATCGACCCACTGGAGCTCCAGGCAGCCACCATGGATGACCTGGATGAAGATGAGGAGCCAGCCCCATCTATGGCCCAGGTGCCACGGTGGGGGCTGGTGGGGGGCTTTGCATTGGGCTTTTTCTTTATGGTGTTTGCAGGGGTCTCATCCAGGGCCACCCCTCTCCATGTAGGCAAGGGGCTTCTCACTAGGCAGAGGGGCAAAGGGCAGACACGGTGCTAAACTGGGCTCTGCGAGGCCTCCTGCCTAGCCTTCTGGGCTCTCTCACTGTGGCCCCTCATGCTACCACTGGCCTGAGAATCCTACTGCTCTTCCTCCCGGATGACCTTGCTTCCAAAGCTAGTCCCTCGATGTGGGTGGAGGCATGGACCCTCCCTCACGATTCCCTAACCCCATGGACCAAGGGAACCCTGAACCAGCCCTGGTCCTGGTGTCCTTTCTCCACTGCAGCGCCCCATGCAGGCCCTGGCTGTTGGGGGGTCACTGCCCCTGCCCCGGCCCAGCTGGCTCAGTTCTCCAACCTTGGGCCGAGCCAACCGCTTCCTCAGCACAGCAGCCGTGAGCCTCATGACCCCACGGCGTCCTCTTAGCACCTCGGAGAAAGTGAAGGTCCGCACGCTGAGCGTGGAGCAGAGGACCCGTGAGGACAGTAGGTGCTGGGTGGGGTCAGACAGGGCCCCAAAGGACCCCTCTACCGTGTACAACCCCCACCCTGGGCAAAGCCAAAATATACTCCATGCCCTCCCAACCCTGTGGTCTGGCAGCATCCCAGGAGTGCAGGAAGCACACTCTGAGGGCAGGAGATCGATGCCACAGAAATAGGTCCTGGCACTGCGGGCCTTGCCCTCCACCCCACCCCTGCCCCCATAGGCTTCCCGAAGGTCCCTCCTGGGGCACAGGAACGGGAGAGGATTCCCTCTCCTGCTGCAAGGCAGGCTCAGGAGAGCTGGGACGGCCCTGCCTTGACCCTGCCCTCCCCTGCTCTCCAGTTGAAGGCAGCCACTGGAACGAGGGCCTGCTGCTGGGGCGGCCCCCCGAGGAGCCTGAGCAGCCCCTCACCGAGAACTCGCTGCTGGAAGTCCTGGATGGGGTGGTCATGATGTACAACCTCAGCGTGCACCAGCAGCTGGGCAAGGTCGCATACTCTTGGGCCCTGCATTGAGTGGGGGTATTGTGCGTGTTTGGTTGTGTGTGTGTGTGTGTGTGTGTGTGCCTGTGTCCACATGGGCCCACATGGTTGCCTGTGCGTGACCATGCATGGGAGCACATGCCTCAGCAGGGCTGGTTTCTGCTCCTGCTGCTTCGGTCTGTCCTGCTGACTGTTGTGGGAATGGGGCAGCCCTGGGCCTAAGGTTGGGATCTTGGCAGGGTTGGGGTCTAGACTGGGTCTGAAGAAGCCTTGATGAAGTACCCAAGGGGCACTCTGGACATGTGGTCCCGTGCTGTAGATGGTGGGTGTCTCCGATGATGTGAATGAATACGCTGTGGCTCTGAGGGACACAGAGGACAAGCTCCACCGGTGCCCTGAGTGGGTAAGGCCCACAGGCAGTCTTGGGTGGGGGCAGCTTGCTTACTTCAGTTCCCAGGCAACCACAGATGAAGGTTCTAGTTCTGGGGGCTGCCCGCAGTTCTCCTCATCCCCGCCCTAGCCCTGGCCATAGCATACCAGTGAGAGTTGGGCTGGCAGCAGGGCCTGGCACCCATCACCAGTGTGGCCTGTGCCTAGGCGTCCCCCACTCCCCAGGCCCACTAAGTGCAGAAACACACCCACTCTCCTCATCAATTATGCATTGACCCTGAGTGCTTCCTTGGCCACTTGCAGAGTCAGCAGGAAGCGGGGCCTGGCTCTGCCGCACCCTCCAGAGCCTTCTGCTGTAGCTGCCCTGGCCTGGGAAGTGAGGCCTGGTGTGTCCAGGTCGAGCTTCCCTGGCGGCTCTCACCCACCCCCACCTGTCAGCAGATCCTTGGGCCTGGCAGCTGTAGGAACAGCAGTTCTGGCATCAGGTCCCTGGGTGCTCTGGCCAGGGGCTCACAGACCTCCAGCTGGGTCTCACTTCCATGTCCTGAAGGGACCACCATGGCCCTGTTCTAAGGCTGGCTCAGGGTCACCAGAGGGTCAGTGGCAGAGCAGGGTTTTGAAAAATGGAGCCCAATCCCTTGCCTGCTCCAGGCACTAGTAAGGGCCCTTCCTAGTCTGCCTGTGAGGTCAGAGTGGAGTTGGGCATGGGGCCATTTCTTGATTGTTCTCCTTTCCCCTTGGGTGCCAGAGGAAGGACATTTTTGCAGAGTTGACCAAGAGCCAGAAGGTTTTCTCAGAAAAGCTGGACCACCTGAGCCGCCGTCTTGCCTGGGTCCATGCCACTGTCTACTCCCAGGTGAGCCAAGACTGCAGCTACCTTGCCCCGACCTCACTGTCTGACCACAGGTCGGGCAAGGTTATGCCAGGATCCTTGGTGCACCTGTCCTTTCAGGCCTCTGGCACACACATGTCCCTTCCTATACTTCAGACTCTGTCACCCCATGCCATGTCCCCTGTACCCCTCATGCCCTGTGGACTGAGGAAGCGCTGTTTCAGGACCTCCAGTACACCTCATAGACTTGTCCTTCAAGGAACAAGCTCTGTCTGTCTGCGTCACCTGCTCCTGCCTCTTCCCAGTTTCTCGGGCCCCCTCCTCTCTCCTGAGTGCATCAGGGGCTCTGCAGTCTTTCGGGGAGCCACACCCCACCTTCTGCATCTGCCTGTATCTCATTCATTACCACCCTAAGGCCACTGGCTTGGTCCTCACTCACTCACTGATTCACTTGCTCATTCATTCAATAGCATGCACCCAAAACCTGGTGTGTGCCAGGTGCCGTCCGGGACACTAGGGGCACACACATGATAATAAACAGAAAGACGAGTCCCTGCCCTCCCAGGGCACTCAGTCTGGTGGGATACATAGATGGACAGACAGATGGATAGGGCACTCCTGCTGTGACTGGAGTTTCACCCCTGGCCTCAGACCCTCTGGACTCATTTCCTCTCCTTGCCCCTGCTGGCATCTCTCCCCTACCACTGAGTGCCTTGAGGTTCTCTTCAGGTGCCCGTGTCTGGGCATCTGCTATCTTCTTGGGCACCCTGCATGACTGGGTGATCAAGGCCCTTGGTGTCCCAATCTCTATCATCTCTGCTTGCTGTTTCTGCTGATGGCTTCTCTGCAAAACCCAAACCACCTCTGCCCTTTTCCCACTCCTGGCTCTCTTGTTACCCTGGATGACTGTGCCTACTGCCCCAGGACGGGGGAACTTCCTCTCCCTCCTGCCCCAAGGTTTCCTGCCTGTCCACCTCCCTCAGCAGTTTGGCTGCCCTCTCCCATACTGTCTTCTGGAGACCCTCACTTTCTCATCTCTCTGCCTTTTTTTCAGTTATACTAAAATATGTGTGACATAAAATTTACCATCTTAGCTTTTTCTTTTTTTGAGACAGAGTCTTATTCTGTTGCCCAGGCTGGAATGCAATGGCATGATCTTGGCTCACTGCAACCTCTATTTCTTGGGTTCACGCAGTTCTCATAGGATTACAGGTATGCCACTGCGCCTGGCTAGTTTTTGTATTTTTTAGCAGAGATGGGGTCTACTATGTTGGCCCAGCTGACCTCATGTGATCCTCCCGCCTTGGCCTCCCAAAGTGCTGGGATAACAGGCATGAGCCACCATGCCTGTCCCCCGCCCATCTTTGTGTTAAGTCTATTCACATTGTCATGTAGCCAATCTCCAGAATCATTTCATCTTGCAAAACTGACACTCTGTGCCCATTAAACAAAACATCCTGTCCTCCCTTTCCCCAGCCCTGGCAATCACCATCCTACTTTCTGTCTCTATGAATTTGACTAAGCACCTCATCTAGGAAGAATCATACACTATTTGTTCTTTTGTGTCTGGCATTAGTGTAATGTCCTCAAAGTTCATTCATGTTATAGCACATTTCAGAACTTACTCATTTTTGAGGCTGAATAACAGTCCGTTGTATGGACACATTTCATGTGTACGGTTCTTTGTTGGGAACACTTGGGTTGCTTCTGCTTTGGGCTACTGTGAATATTGGTGTAATGAACATGGGTGTGCAAAGATCTCTTTGAGACCCTAATTTCAGTTCCTTTGGTTATATACCCAGAAGTGGAATTGCTGTATCATATGGTAATTCTGTTTTTTATTTTTATTTTTGAGACAGTCTTGCTCTGTTGCCTGGGCTGGAGTGCAGTGGCATGATCTCAGTTCACTGCAACCTTCACATCCTGGGTTCAAGTGATTCTCCTGTCTCAGCCCCCTGAGTAGCTAGGACTACAGGCATGTACCACCATGCCTGGCTAATTTTTGTATTTTTAGTAGTTTTGCCATGTTAGTCAGGTTGGTCTTGAACTCCTGACCTCAGGTGATCTACCCGTCTTGGCCTCCCAAAGTGCTGGGATTATAGATGTGAGTCACCATGCCTGGCCAATTCTGTTTTTCAGTTTTTTTGGAAACTACCATATTGTTTCTACAGTGGCTGTACTGTGTTACATTCTCACCAGTAGTGCATGAGGGTTCTAGTTTCTCCATACATATCCTTTCCAACACTTACTTTTCTGTCCTTTTTTGGTGGAGGCAGGATCTTACTATGTTGCCCAGTTGTCAAACTCCTGGGTTCAAGCAATCCTCCTGCCTCAGCCTCCCAAAGTGCTGGAATTATAGGCATGAACCACCTATTATCAAGTATTTCTGCTTTTTTTCTTTCTTTTTTTATTTTATTTTATTTTTTTATTTTAGAGATGGGGTTTCACCATGTTGGCCAGGATGGTCTCAATCTCCTAACCTTGTGATCTGCCTGCCTTGGCTTCCCAAAGTGCCAGGATTACAGGCATGAGAAATTGTGCCCAGCCAATTTCTGCTTTTTTAATAGTAAATCCTAATTGGTAGGATATGGTACCTTATTGTGGTTCTGATTTGCATTTTCCTAATTATTAGTGATATTATAGCAAATAGTACCGTTACATTCACTTACTGATCATTTGTGGGTTTTTTTTTTTTTTTTTTTTTTTTTTTTTTTGAGAGGGATTCTTACTCTGTCACTCAGGCTGGAGTGCAGTGGCAGGATCTTGGCTCACAGCAACCTCTGCCTCCCAGGTTCAAGTGATTCTGCCACCTCAACCTCTCGAGTAGTTGGGACTATAGGCGTGCGCCACCACACTCAGCTAAGGTTTGTATTTTTAGTAGAGATGGGTTTTTACCATGTTGGCCAGGCTGGTCTCAAACTTCTGACCACAGGTGATCCACTGCCTTGGCCAAAGTGCTGGGATTACAGGCATGAGCCACCACACCCAGCCTGCTATAAGTTTTGAAATCAGGAAGTGAGACCTCCAACTTTGTTGTTTTTCAAGATTGTTTTGGCTACTTGAGGTCCCTTGAAATTCCAAATTAATTTTTACATAGGTATTTTTGTTTCTGCAGAAAACACCATTGGGCTTCTGATAGGGATTGCATGAATCTGTAGATTCCTTTGGGCGGTGTTGATATCTTAACAATGTTAACAGTTCGACCGGGCACGATGGCTCATGCCCATAATCCCGGCACTTTGGGAGGCCAAGGCGGGTAGATCATGAGGTCAAGAGATAGAGACCATCCTGGTCAACATGGTGAAACCCCATCTCTACTAAACATACAAAAAAATTAGCTGAGCATGGTGACGCGTGCCTGTAGTCCCAGCTACTCGGGAGGCTGAGGCAGGAGAATTGCTTGAACCCAGGAGGCGAAGGTTGCAGTGAGCCAAGGTTGCGCCATTGCACTCCAGCCTGGGTAACAAGAGTGAAACTCCGTCTCAAAAAAACAAAAAAAAACAATGTTAACAGTTCATGAACACAGGATTGCTTTCCATTTAGATCTTTAATTTCTTTCAGCAACATTTTGTAATTTTCAGTATAGCTTCAAGTCTTTTTTTTTTTTTTTGAGACGGAGTCTCTGTCACCTACACTGGAGTGCAACGGTGCAGTCTCAGCTCCCTGCAACCTCCACCTCCCATGTTCAAGAGATTCTCCTGTCTCAGCCTCCCAAGTAGCTGGAACTATAGGCGTATGCCACCACACCCAGTGAATTTTTGTATTTTTAGTAGAGACGGGGCTTCACTATATTGGCCTGGTTTTGAACTTCTGACCCCATGATCTGCCCGCCTCAGCCTCCCAAAGTGCCGGGATTACAGACATGAGCCACTACACCCAGTCAGCTTCAAGTCTTTTGTTTCCTTGGTTAAATGTATTCCTATGTATTTTATTCTTTTTGATCCTATTGTAAATGGAATTATTTTCTGGACTTCTTTTCAGATTGTTCATTTTTGCATATTGATTTTTGTGTCCTGTAATTTTTTGGTTTGTTTGTTTGAGACAGTCTCTCTCTGTCACCCAGGCTGTAGTGCAGTGGCATAATCTCAGCTTCCTGCAGCCTCTGCCTTCCAGGTTCAAGCGATTCTCTGCCTCAGCCTCCCAAGTAGCTGGGATTACAAATACCCACAACCGCCCCCAGCTAATTTTTATATTTTTAAAAGAGATGGGGTTTCACCATGTTGGCTAGGCTGGTCTCAAACTCCTGACCTCAGGTGATCCACCTGCCTCGGCCTCCCAAAGGGCTGGGATTACAGGCTTGAGCCACTGTGCCTGGCCGTATCCTGCAATTTTGCTGTTATTTATTAATCCTAGTTGGGGTTTTACATGTGTGTATCTTTAGGGTTTTCTACTTGTAAAATCATGTTTGTGAACAGAGATAATTTTACTTCATCCTTTTCAGTGTGGTTTCCTTTCATTTTCATGCTTAGTTGTTCTGGCTGGGATTTCTAGGATGATGCTGAGCAGAAGTAGAGAAAGTGGCACACTTGTCTTATTCTTGGTCTGAGGGAGGGAGGGAGAAATTAAAAGTCTGTTACCACTGAGTGTGAAGTCAGATAGAGGCTTTTCATGTATGGTGTTTATTATGTTGAACTGTCTTCATTCTCTGTGACTTCAGCACTAACCCACCTGTGTTTTTCTAATTGCGGTTCTTCCATTATTCGTGGAAAGACTCACTCTTGTAAACCAGCATTTTGTGAGGCTGAAGTGGGAGGATCACTTGAAGCCTGGGCAACCCATCTCTAAAAACAAAAAAATTAATTAGCTGGGCATGGCTACGCATATCTATAATCCCAGCTACCCTGGAGGCTTAGGCAGGAAGATCACATGAGTTCAGGAGTTCAGGCTACAGTGAGCTGTGATTACACCACTGCGCTCCAGCCTTGACTCTACTTGTGCCCGTAATTCTCTCCTTTCTCTGTCATCTTCCCCTTTATCTCGCCCCAGCACAGGCTCTTCCCCATCTCTGAAGTAGTCCCACCAGGGTCTCAGTCTGCCCCCATCTCAATCCGGCCCTCACATTTCCATCTCCCTTGGATTGGTGACTTAGCTCTGATGGAGCCATTGCCAGCCCCTCATCAGACAGTCTTCTCTGGCCTTCTGTAGCAGCAGGATTGTCACTGCCCAGGTGTGCCCACAGACCTGCCCCCTGACCGCTTGCTTATATCTTCTCAGTTCCTCAGGTTTTAGAGCACATCAGAGAGCTGGTGTGAAGCCCAGGTGCACTGGCCGCACTCCAAGACACATGGGTGCTGTGGGTCTGGGCTGGGGCCTTAGGCCTCATTGTTGCCTGGGCTCCTTCGTGAGACCCTGACACGGACTCTGGAAACCACATTGTGGGGAGCAGGGCCCTCAGAAGGGTTTGTCTGTTTCCCGTGACCTCTGTTCCACCAGTCACACCGCCCCCTGCCCGCCCACCACCTTCTCCTTTGCAATGCAGATCAAATTTCTGTCTGCCTGCTTTCCACCGCCAGCTCTTTGGGACCCCCACGCACCTTGTACTCCACTTGTCTACTCCCCGCTGCCCTGCACGAGGCCTGCTTCTCCTCTAGTACTCCATGGAGACCCCACCACCCTCAGAAGCACGTACCCCCATTCTTGCTGCAACCGTTTCGTTGTCCCCGCAGCCCATCAGGGCATACCCAATCCTGGCCCTCCAGTCCCTTTGTCTGCCATGTTGGACCTAGACAAGACTGTGGCTTCCTCACTGTCCCATCCCCACTTGCCCTGCCTCCCCTTCTGTGTGGGGCAGCTTTCCAACACAGAATTCCAGTCACAACACCCTATTGCCTCAAACTTGCTTACAGGCTGAGGCAGGTGGATCACCTGAGATCAGGAGTTCAAGACCAGCCTGGCCAACATGGCAAAATCCCATCTCTACTAGAAATACAAAAATTAGCCATGTGTGGTGTAACATACCTGTAGTCCCAGCTACTTGGGAGGCTGAGGCAAGACAATCACTTGAACTTGGAAGGCAGAGGTTGCAGTGAGCCAAGATGGCGTCACTGCACTCCAGCCTGGGCGATAGAGCAAGAGTCCATCTCATAAAACAAAAAACTTGCTTACACACGTGCTGATCAGAGTTCTGGCCTGGATGGCAGTAATGCTCCCTCCAGGCTGAGTGCGTCTCTCTTGCTTGCCGAGGACTTGATTGCCCTGCTTGAGCCAGTGCTCATACGTCCTGAGATCCAGGTCTCAGCTGTGCTGTCATAGGCTGGGGAGGTCTTTCCTGATACCCAGGCCAGGCCATGCCCCCAAGACCCCACTGGTGAGAGGCACACACCCGTGTGCCTCCTGTAGGAGAAGATGCTGGACATCTACTGGCTGCTGCGAGTCTGCCTGCGGACCATTGAGCACGGCAATCGCACGGGATCTCTCTTTGCCTTCATGCCCGAGTTCTACCTGAGCGTGGCCATCAACAGCTATAGTGCTCTCAAGAATTACTTTGGCCCTGTGCACAGCATGGAGGAGCTCCCAGGTGACGGAACCGTTCAGGCTGGGGCAGAAGCAGAAAAGGGGTCTCTAGTGTAAGCCCTAGGAGCCCTGGTCTGAGACCTCTGTGGCTCAGCAACATACATCTGTGTGGGGGAGGGGTGGGAAGGGTAGGTGGAGCTTCCTCTGTGGTTCACCCTGCAGTAAACAAACGTTTGCACCCTGTCCTGGGACGCGCAGCCACAGAGCCAACAACTACCTGGTGAAGGAAAACAGGAAAGATGGAACACAGTGGGTGGAGACCCCTTGGCTTTCACTTCCTAGTGCTGTGAGCAACTGCCGTGGTCCAGCAGCCAGCTGGCCCTGCACCCTGACTCCCTGGCACTGGTCACGAAGTGTGGCAGTTGGTCAAGGGCAGAATGGTTTGTCTTGGTAAATCACAGCAGGGGGTGGGGCCCTGCTAGGGTCCACATATGAACCTAGGCTTCTTGCAGCCTGCTGATTCCAGGCTGGGCATGGCAGTGTATGTCTGGATCAGGCTGTGAGCTGTCAGGACCCTGGCCCGACCCCTGCCCAGCCCCAGGACTTGGTGCAGGCTTTGTCTTCCAAAGACAGAGCTATGAGTGCCCAGGGAGCTTTGACTGTTCATCAAGTGTGTGTGCTGAGGTGGGTTTGAGCCCAGGTCAGGGCTCCTGCCAGGACCTGTCCCCTCATAGTGAGCCTGTGCCTTAGCACCTCCACAGCCACCAATGAATGCCTTGCCCAATGTCCCCAGATGCTACCCTGGGTCCACGCTGGCCTTGGGAGCCAGCTCTAGAGCCTGCTACTCAAGCCCACCCAACCTGCCAAGGGACATGCCTGCCCCTGGAGCTCCTACTCCCAGCCAAGATGTCTCACTTCCCACCCTTGCAGGCTATGAAGAGACCCTGACGCGCCTGGCTGCCATTCTCGCCAAACACTTTGCAGACACACGCATCGTGGGCACTGGTGAGGGGCCTACAGAGGGTACAGGGGGAGGAGGACAGGATTGCACCTCTGGTCAGCTTTTTTCTATGAAAAATGTGGCCAGATGGGCATGAAGCATGGGGCCAGGGCTCATGCCAAGCCTTTACTGAGGCAAGGCCTGTCCCCATAGACATACGAGACTCACTGATGCAAGCCCTGGCCAGCTACGTGTGCTACCCACACTCCCTGCGGGCTGTGGAGCGAATCCCTGAGGAGCAGTGAGTAGGGCCTGGAGGGGCACACACCCTGCCTTCAAGCACTGTGCCCAGCCTCACCCTGTGTCTCTCCCCTCCCTGCCATCACAGGCGTATTGCCATGGTAAGGAACCTCCTGGCTCCCTATGAACAGCGACCCTGGGCCCAGACCAACTGGATCCTGGTGCGGCTCTGGAGGGTAAGCCTGACTCGAGGAGGTAGCTGAGGCTGGCTGGAGGGAGAGGGTGCCCTGTCCCCTTGATCCCTGCACTGCCCCCCTGTACCCCCCACAGGGCTGTGGCTTTGGGTACCGCTATACACGGCTGCCACATCTGCTGAAAACCAAACTTGAGGATGCCAATTTGCCCAGCCTCCAGAGTGAGTATCCAGGTTAGGCAAGTCCTGGGCAAGGCAGTGGGGGGGCCTTACCCATGTTTTCTCTCAGACTCTCCACTTCTTCCAGCCCCTGTCCTGTTCCCCTGCTGGGTCCCATATGCCCTACCTGTCCCCTGGGGTTTCCACTTTCCCTGCTTCCTTTCAGCCTAAGGATGCTTGGGGTGGGACTCCTCCCCCTTGCCCACAGTGCTACATGTGCCCTTTGGGCCCTGACACTCTGTGTGGGTCATGGTGAGAGGCGCACTGTCTTACTAGCCTGCTGCAGTGCATGCTGACTGAATACTCTGTCCCTTGCCCTCTAAGCTAGCTCCCTGACCTCCAGCCTTGTCCCAGCACCATGTCCTTCTGCTCCTTTTTCACTGTCTGCTGGTGCCAGATCCTGGCCTCGGCTTAGGCCCTGGACACCTGAGTCCAGTGGGAGCACCAATTGGCGGTTGGCTAGGTCCCCAGAGGGTATTCATGGGGCTTCCTGGAGGAAGGGACATTTAGTTGGGAGCAGAGGCTGTCCAGGTCTCCAGGGTCCAGCAACATCTCATGAGCCTGAGGACCTTCCCGTAGGCTTGGCCCTTGCAGAGTGCCCGCCACACACTGTCCTCACCCTTTTTGGTGGCATTTCTTGGCTCACATAGTGTGTTTCTGCTCTTGTGGGCAGTGTTTTGGTCTGAAGGATATCCCCAGAAAAGCTGAGTGTCTTGTGCTAAGTCACACAGCAAGTCCTTGGTCCTGCCTCCAGGGAGGAACTGAGCTGCAAGTGGAGAGCGACAGTGGGGCCAGGTCCGTCCTGCTGCTGCGGGAACTATTGATTTGCATCAAGCTGGTGGGGAGGTGTGCCAGGCCAGTTGCAGCTGAGGGCTCCGGTTACTGCTGCCTGCCAGCCCAGACTTGGTGCCCACCACCTCGGCCGTAAGCCAAGGCCAAGCCAAGGGCAGCAGAGGACAGTAGAGGACAGCAGGTTTGCAGCAGGGCTCAGAGTAGGCTCTTGGAGGAGCTGACCTTGGTGCCAATGGGGAAGTGTCTAAGCCGCCCTGTCTAGATCTGACACTTTCTGAAGGGTGTGTGGCCCAGAACTTGCTGGAGGTCAGGCTCTGGCTGTGTGGCTGCTCTGGGCCTGGGGTGGGTAGTGCAGTGTGGGGGCTGGAAACAGCTGCAGCCTGGGGCTTGCCTAGTAGAAGGAGGGGACAGATTTTGTCCTAACTACAAGGCAGCTGTCCCCTGTCTTCTGCTTTCATGACCTACGCATTCCTAGGGAGCCATCTTTCTGTCCTTATACCAAAGGCCCAATGGGCGAGGACGGAGGCAAACAGGCAGAGGCCACTGCAGTGGAGTCCCTGATGCTGCGGCCTCCCTGTCCCCCTGCAGAGCCCTGCCCCTCCACCCTGCTGCAGCGGCACATGGCAGACCTCCTGCAGCAGGGTCCTGATGTGGCACCCAGCTTCCTCAACAGTGTCCTCAACCAGCTCAACTGGGCCTTCTCCGAATTCATTGGCATGATCCAGGAGGTGGGCTGTGGTGGGGCCTCGTGGGTGGAAGTGGGCTGTGGTGAGGCCTTGTGATGGTGTAAGGGACAAGGCCTGGTCCTGGGCTAGAGCCAGGCACTGACCGCTGCATGCCCACATGTTGATGGCTCAGATCCAGCAGGCTGCTGAGCGCCTGGAGCGTAACTTTGTGGATAGCCGGCAGCTCAAGGTATGTGCCACCTGCTTTGACCTCTCGGTCAGCCTGCTGCGTGTCTTGGAGATGACCATCACACTGGTGCCTGAGATATTCCTCGACTGGACCCGGCCTACCTCTGAGATGCTGTTGCGGCGTCTTGCACAGGTGTGGCCATCTGGGCAACAAGGGTGGGACCCTGGGGATTCCCCATTGGTGATGTTCCCCATCCACCAACGGATTCCTGCCCCCCTCACAGCTGCTAAACCAGGTTCTGAACCGGGTGACAGCTGAGAGGAACCTGTTTGATCGTGTGGTCACCCTGCGGCTGCCTGGTGAGGACCTAGATGCCCTGCACCCCAACACACCACTTGGTTCCCCTGCTAGGAACAGTGATGCCTGATTCTGCATTGTCCCCAGACAGCCAGGCTCAGTACCCTGCAGCCTCGGCTCACCCTTCTGTAGGGAGGGCAGTGGGCAGGGCGGATGGTGTCAAGCCTGGAGCCCCTGCAGTGGGAGTATGTGGGTGGCTCATCTTCCTTCCTTCCCTTCCCCTCAGGCCTAGAGAGCGTGGACCACTACCCCATTCTGGTAGCAGTAACAGGCATCCTGGTGCAGCTCCTGGTGCGTGGCCCAGCTTCAGAGTGAGTGTTGGGGACTGTGGGCCCTGCTGGGAGCTGGGTGTGTCTGGTGAGGAGGGACTGGACAGGGCCTCCTGGCACCTCCTTTTCCTAATCTGGAAAACGGACCTCAGTATCAGGTTTTGAGGCAGAGGGAGCTCCTCTAAGTAGAAGAATCTGGGACCCCAGCAGGACAGGGTGCCCTGGCCCACAGAGCCACTGGCTTGTGGCCACAGTTCAGGCACCAGGCATGGGAGGCAGGACTCTGGAGGGTGTGCCATCCATAGTGGACAGGGTCAGGCTGCTGGGTGGAGAGCTGAACACACGCAGGACCACCTTTGTCTGCGAAGGCTCCAGCAATAAGCAAGTGCTGCCTTTATTAAGAAACTCTGGAGCAGTGGGGTCCAGGATGGCCATGAGGGCCCCCAGCTCAGCCCCCACACATGAGGAGCTCCCAGACCCCCTTCCCTGCCCCCCTGCAATGGGAGCAGTGAGAGGCATGTGAAGCCAGGGCACCGCCTCAGCCATTAGGCTGAAACCAGTGCCAGCCCTTAAGAGGCACCTGCCCTCAAGGGACATGGAGTTCCGGCTTGGCCCTCACAGCTTGGCCATGCTCGCCAGGCTTTTTGGGCGTTTTACTGCTGAAAAGAAGTGGCGCAGGCCATGATCCCCTTCACTGTGTCTTGTGAGCCCACAGAATGGGCTCTGCCTTCAGGACAACAGCTGGAGAGAGCCAGGCCAGAGAGAGCAGGGCCTCTGGCTGGGGCTTAGGCCAGGGCCCTCAGGAGTCTCTTAAGGAGCCTTTCCTGCCTAGTGCCTGTCCACTGGACTCTGCGTGCAGTTGCGAAGCTTTCAGGAGGTTGGGTGTTGGCAGATGGAGGGAGTCCCATTTCACCAGAGGGCGGGCTTGTTTCCTTCTGACTTGGGGTGTGGGTGGGATCTTCCTTCAGAGCTGCCTCCTTTTCCCTATGGGCCCACTGCCTCCCGCGACCTTGGGAAGGGGAGGTAGCCCTGCGTCAGCTCTTCAGCACCACTCAAGAGTTCCTTTGGCCCCTGAGGGTGGATAGGGGGCTCTGCTACAGGGGTTCTATCACATGGGCCTAGGTCTCTCAGCCTCACAGGGCATTTGGGCACTAGGAGGTCCCTGGAGAAGCAGGCACTAGCACACCTTGCAGGGCCTGGGGCCTTTGGGTCTTGTGCAGGGGCAGAGCAGAAGGCAGGTTAGGGACTGGAACCTCTCTCTCTACCAGTGAGTGAGAAGGCCCATTGTGGTTTGAGGCCCACACAAGAAGCCAGGGGGCCAGGCACAGCACTCCCCACCAGCATCTATCTGTTCTCTGGACCACAGCATGGAGCAGGGCGAGCAGCAAGAGGGTGGGGGCTTGGGCGGGGCTCTGGTGCAGTCTAGGTTGTCATGAAACCTTCGGAGCCTATGGAGCTTGCGGACTCAGAACTAGCCTTCAGCTGCAGGCCCCTAGGGTTGCAGATATCGAAGTCCTCGGCTACTGCCAGCTGCACTCGGCCATTGAGGCCCCTCCGGCCTGGCTCCAGAAAGACCACGTGCTTGTGGACGCTGGCCTTGCGGCTGGGTGCGTCTGGTGGTGTGGTGCTGAGCACTGAGGACTGTGCGCTCAGTTCATGGAGTGGGCTGGGTGTTCGGGGCCAGCAGCGGCAACAGCAGGTACGGCGGCAGCAGCGGCAGGGTGGGGCAAACAGGTAGAGCAGTACAAGCACCAGGCCCACGGCACAGCCCAGCAGCGTGGTGAAGCTTGTGTTGAAAGCCTCGGGCTCTGGGCGCGGGAAGTGCACGCTCACGTTGTACTCGTGCGTCTGGTTGTGATGCAGGAGGGGCCCAGTGGCCAAGCACACGAAGAGTCCTGCATGCTGCTCCTGCACGTTACCTATGGCCAAGCTGCCATCAGCCAGCACTGCGATGCTGCCATCGCGGGATCCTGGTGCCCTGAGCAGCTCCTGCTGCGGGGAAACCCAGGCAATGCGCATGGCCGGGACGCTGGTGTTGCAGTAAAGCCTCAGGGACCGACCCACCAGCGCGTGCAGGTGCTCTTCTGGCCGCTCTAGGCCAAGAGCTGAGGCCGACGAGCAGTTCTCAAAGACACGGCTGTGCTGGAAGAAGCGCACACGGGACGCGGGTACCTTGAAGGCTAAGCATGTGTACTCGCGCGCAAAGTCGCGTACGGCGCTCAGGCCCCGCTGGTGCCAGCGCTGTAGCAGTTGGTAGAAGCGGCAGTCGCAGGGCAATGGGTTGTTGTGCAAGTAGAGGCCGTTCTTGAGGAAAGCTGGCAGCGCGGCCAGCTCAGGTACGGAGATGTGTCCCAGTCGGTTGGAGGAGAGGTCCAGAGTAAGCAGGTGGGTGGCGCTCAGACCGTGCAAGTGGTCGAAAGAGAAGGAGGCGAGTTCGTTGCAGCCCAGGTAGAGATGGTTGAGTGCTCTCAGGCTGTGGAAGGCATGCTTGTCCAAGTGTACCAGGCGGTTATTGAACAGAAGCAGCTTCTCCAGCGCCCCCAGCCCGTCGAGATCGTGGCGGCCAAGCGACCGCAACGCGTTAGATGATAGATCCAGCAGTCTCAGGCTGCTGGCATTGGCGAAGACGCCGCGACCCAGCGCATCTAGTTCGTTATGGCCTAGGTGCAGGGCGCGAAGCTGTAAGAGGGGTGCCAACCATCCGGGTCGCAGGCGCTGGAGTGCGTTGTGGCTTAGGTCGAGGTCTGCAGTAGCGGCAGGGAACGCGGCCGGCACGTCCTGCAACCCTAGGCCAGTGCAGCTCAGCAAGTCAGCAGCGCAGACGCATTTGTAGGGGCAGTTGTGGGGCATACGGGGCGGGAAACCCTCGGAGTCTGGGGTGCTTGACCCAACGCGCAGCATGCAGAGCAGTGCGCCCAGCAGCACCAGCCAGGTCATGGCGGCGACCACCAGGGACAGGACAGATCAGCTCTGTGCAGGTCGCAATTCCAGGACTCACCTACTTCTGCTCTAGTGTGACGTGGGTAGCACCGGATGGCTCTTGCCGAGGAGGCACGGTGCGGGTTCTGCCCTGCCCGGCTGGCCGAGCGCCCGTGTTCCTGTTCCCAGGTCGTGAGACGGGGCCGGACTCCACTCCACGCTCCCTTTGGCTTCCCCAGCCCTCTCGGAGCGAGTTCCTGATCAGCTCCTAAATACTCCCTCTGGGGCGGGGCCCGGGCTCCTATTGGTTCCTGTTTCAGGAGGCGTGGCGGCGGTATCCCGTAGCGCCCAGGGGCCCCGCGTGACCGCCAGAGGGGGAGTGAGTCCAACCCCTAAGTCCCAGCCTGCCTTTGGCTCTCTGCCGCTCCTTTGTCCTCGAGGAGTAAAAGGGAGAGTCTAGAAGAATGTCTCCAAGCTGCTGTTAGTGTTTATTTGAAGTGATTTTGAAGGATTGATACATTATGGGGCAGGCGGACTCTATCTATCTGAAGATGGCACCCCTGAGCCCTCTTAAAGTAGTACCCCAGGCTGGGCACGGTGGTCCACGCCTGTAATCCCAGCACTTTGGGAGGCCGAGGTGGGTGGATCACCTGAGGTCATAAGTTCGAGACTAGCCTGGCCAACATGGAGAAACTCCATCTCTACTAAAAATACAAAAATTAGCTAGGCACGGTAGTGTGTGCCTGTAATCCCAGCTACTCGGGAGGCTGAGGCAGGAGAATCGCTTAAACCCGGAAGGCGGAGGTTGCAGTGAGCCGAGATTGCACCATTGCACTCCAGCCTGGGTGAGAGCGAGACTCCATCTCAAAAAAAAAAAAAAAAAAAAAAAAGTGGTAACCCAGATTGTGTGGCACTTTACTAGAATCCAGGACTTGGGGTTTCAGAAGCAGGGAGATGGAAAGATGTGGTGGGGGAGGTGATCATGCAAGAGCCATGGCACTCCTCATTGGCAATCCCAATAGAGACTTTTAGCCAGGCCCCAAGCCTTCTGACTGCCTTTGCACCCTCCCATACCTAGGAGAGACCGAGCCACATCAGTGCTCCTGGCAGATCCCTGCTTCCAGCTTCGTTCAATATGCTATCTCCTGGGACAACCAGAGCCCCCAGCACCTGGCACTACCCTGCCAGCCCCTGACCGGAAGCGCTTCTCCCTGCAGAGCTGTGAGTGGGGTAGTGGGGTGGGTTAGGGAGATCCAGGGCTGGATCAGGTCAGGAGCTTTAAGAACAGCAAAGTCTGGCCAGGCATAATGGCTCACACCTGTATCCAACCACTTTGGGAGGCCAAGGTGGGCTGATCACAAGGTCAGGAGACCAAGACCATCCTGACCAACCCTGGATGGTAAAACCCCCATCCATACTAAAAATATAAAAAATTATGCCAGGCACAGTGGCTCATGCCTGTAATCCCAACACTTTGGGAAGCCGAAGTGGGCGGATCACAAGGTCAGAAGTTTAAGACCAGCCTAACCAACATGGTGAAACCCTGTCTCTACTAAGAATACAAAAATTAGCTAGGCATGCTAGTGTGTGCCTGTAATCCCAGCTACTCAGGAGGCTAAGGCAGGAGAATCACTTGAACTTGGCAAGTAGAAGTTGCAGTGGCCAGGATCAGGCCACTGCATTCCAGCCTGGGTGACAGAGCAAGGCTCCATCTCAAAAAAAAAAAAAAAAAAAAAAATAGCTGGGCATGGTGGCACATGCCTATAGTGCCAGCCACTTGGGAGGCTGACACAGGAGAATCGTTTGAACCTGGGAAGAGGAGGTTGCAGTGAGCCGAGATTGTGCCCCTGCACTCCAGCCTGGGGATACAGCAAGACAGCAAGACTATCTCAAAAAAAAAAAAAAAAAAAAAAAAGCAAAGTTCTAGGCTGGAAATATTCAAGAGGCACCACATCCTCAGCTACCTCTGGCTTGACACTACCTACCACTCCCAGATGCAGATTATATCAGTGCCGACGAACTGGCTCAGGTGGAACAGATGCTGGCACACCTGACCTCTGCATCTGCCCAGGCAGCAGCTGCCTCCCTGGTGAGTGGACCCACAGCACACAGGCCCAACCCACTTGAATGTGTGCACTTCTACATAGGCACAGCAGACATCCACATAGCTGGGCATCCAACTCCGGCCCACTCTTCACTTTCCTTCTTGCAGCCCACCAGTGAGGAGGACCTCTGCCCCATCTGCTATGCCCACCCCATCTCTGCTGTGTTCCAGCCCTGTGGCCACAAGTCCTGCAAGTAAGTGGGCCCCACAGCTTGGTGGTGGGGAGAGCAGTGTGTACATGCCATACAGTCCTCATCCCCTCCCTTGTTGTAGAGCCTGCATCAACCAACACCTGATGAACAACAAGGACTGCTTTTTCTGCAAAGCCACCATCGTGTCTGTAGAGGACTGGGAGAAGGCAGCCAGTACGAGCACTACCTCCTCAGCTGCTTAGCCCTCAGCCTGCACCATCCTGGGACCTCCACCCTTGAACCCAGAGCCAGGCTGGGCCCTATTTATGAGCTCCCTTTGCCCTTCTCCTGTACCCACCACCACCACCACATCCAACCTCCTTGCCCGCCTGTTTCATTGGTGAGAGCCCAGCCATGGCCCTAATTGTGCCTGAGCTTGACTTTCAGTCAGGGCCACAGTGAGCATTAAATTATTATTCCATACAGCCCTGGCCCTGGCCCTTCTTGAGGGAGTGGGGTTTGTTGGGTGTGCCTGGCAGAGATCCTGCCAGATGATGTCCACATGAGAAGGCAGGTGTCCAACAGCTTCAGCTTCATCCAATGCCCCTCAGACAAAAGTCCAGGGTCTTCCGATGTGTCAGGCCAGCACTCCCCTTGCCGATGGGAAAACCGGGGCTCGGCCAGCCCCGCTGTATCCCCTTACATGATGATACGAGGCTCTGGCACTGACTCGCCAATAGACTTGTGGGGTAGCACGCTGGCTCCGTTGAGGTAGAGCTCGTCATTAACTATGACGTCCTCACCCAGCACTGTCACATTCTCCATGCGAACCTCCAGGAGAGGATAGGCCCTGTCAGGGATGCGGGCACATTCCCCACCCTTCTCCTGCCCTTCTCCCGCCCTTCTCCCGCCCCTCTCCCCACATAGCCCAGTCCACAGGCTTACCCACTGGCCCACGCGGCAGCGCCAGCCCACAATGCAGGACTCAAGCCAGGAGTGGGAGCGGATACGGGCATCCCGCAGCACCGTACACCGCCGGATACATACACCATCCTCCACCACCACACCAGGTCCTAGGCTTACGTTGGGGCCAATGCTGCAGTTCTGGCCGATGCGAGCACTTGGATCCTGAGAGTGGTGGGAGAAATAATACAAGTGGGCCACTTGTCGCCCAAGATTGGGAGGTTAATCATGGGCTGGGCAAGGGCCTCACCACCAGCACGTTGCCCACAATGCCAGGGCCTGAGCACAGCCGCTCAGGCTGCTTCTGCCTCAGTGACTGCAGGAAGAGGCACATGCCAGTGAGGAAGTCCTTGGGCTGCCCAATGTCCATCCAGAAGCCTGTAGGGAGGGATGTATCAGGGGCCTCAGCCCAGCCACAGACCACCCCCACCCTGTGGCCTCCCTACCTCACCCTGCAACTCCATGGCATATAGCTGCCCTTCCTTGGCCATAACAGGGAAGACCTCCTTCTCAATGGACGTAGGCTGCAGCTGTGGGAGTGGGCAGCTTGTGAGCAGGGTCATGGCAGTGATGGCCTGCCCCCACCCCAGCCCACCAACAGGTGTCTCCTACACACCTGGATGCGCTGCAGCACCGCAGGGCTCAGGATGTACATGCCTGCATTGATCTTATTGGACACAAACACCTGCGGCTTCTCCACGAACCGGTGAATGCGGCCTGTGTCAGCCTCACACACCACAACACCATACTTGGAGGGTTCCTCCACCTTGGTCACCTGAATGCAAGGAAGGGGACCTCGGACCTAGTCCAGTGCTCCTGAGCCTTGATATACATGCTGTCCCAGATCTCAGAGACTCTGCCCCAAGTGCTTCAAGATACATATTGAACAGCTCTGTACCCATAACATCCGAAGGCGAATGAAGGCTAGGGGGCAGAGGAGGCTGGGCATGGATGGTGAAAGTGTCAAGAGAAAAAAGACCTGGCGCCTTACCAGGATGGAGCCCTCCTGGCCATGGTGCCGGTGGAACTGCACCATGGCTTGGAAGGGGAAATCGCAGATCACATCACTGTTGAGGACGAAGAAAGGGTCTGCAGTCTCGGAGAGTAGGTCACGGGCCAGTGCCAGGGGCCCAGCTGGGGGAAGGGGACAGGTCACCTTGCTGGAGGTCTGAGTCCCTGATTCAGGCTCAGCAGGCCAATTCAGGCTGGGTCTTACCCTTTTCCTGGCCTTAAACCCTCCCCAAGGGACTTTCCTGTCTCTACTGACCTGTCCCCAAAGGCTCCTCTTCATGGGACATGGAGATTCGGATTCCCAGCTAGAAGGAAGAGGCCCCCCAAGTCAGGTTCTACCAGGATGGGACGTTGGGCGGGGACCGAGGGTAAGGGCCAAGAGTCCCTGCCTCACCCTCTGCTCCTGTGCCTTCATTTCCTTCTCCAGCACCTGCGACATGTAGCTCACGGCCAGGATCACGTGGTCCACGCCTGCCTGTCAGAACGAAGGCCGACAGGCGGGCTCAGCCAGAAGGTAGGGGTGCCCCTGACCCCTAGTCGCTGGCCATCCCTAGTCCCGCCAGATCCGAACGCGACTTCGATCCCAATTCAGGGTCTTACCGCGGCCAGCGCCTCCACTTGGTGCAGCAAGATGGGCTTATTGCAGAAGTCCACCAGTGGCTTCGGGGTGCTCAGCGTCAGCGGCCGTAGCCGCGTCCCATAGCCCCCCACTAAAATCAGGGCCTTCATTGCGCCTGCGGGCGTTGGAAGGGTGTGCCGGGCCCTGAGGTGCCTGCAGCCCGCCTGGCCGGCCCCTGCCGCGCACTCCCAACGCCGTGCCCGGCCCCGCGCCCTTGACCAACCCGCCTGACCAACTCTAGATCCACCTTGTCCGCCCGGTCGCCCTGACGCCGGATCCGGGGCCACCACAACCCGGAAGGCAACGCCAGACGGACGGCGGGTGGTCCCAAACTCAAGCCAGACCGGCGCGGGCAGTGACGCAACCCCCGCGGGCCAATCGGCTGCCGCATACGTGGCACGGCGGCTGGCGTCGGAGCGCTGGGGCGCGGCGCTGCGACAGACGTAGCCAATGAGCGCTCGAGCGCGCCAGGCTGCCATGGGGACCCAGGTCAGGACCCGCGGGTCAGCTGGCCATTGGCGGATCCAAAGGCGGAAATGGCGCCAAGGGCGAGGCCTTGTTCCCTGCTCCGCGTGGTCCAGCGGCCGCCGGACCCGCCCTGCCCCGCCCCGCCCAGCCCTAGGACCCGCCCATCGGCCTCAGCCCGGGTAAGGGAGACCAGGGAAGGCTCCCGGGCTAATTTTCACAAAGAGACAGACTCACTTCCGCCTCTAGCGGCTTTATTTTTGACATACACGACCTCAGACACAAGCGGGGCGGGTAGCGCTAGGTGTACAGAAAGGAGTGGGCTCGGCCCAAGCACCCCCTCCACCGCACGCAAGGTCCAGAAGAAACGCAGCTGCGGCGGCAGCCACGGGTAGTGTCCGAGCACAGGCCTCGGGCGGTGGGAACAGGCTTAGCTTCCGGGAAAGAGCAGCAGAGAGCGATTCCCAGAATGCGAGGGCTTACAGTTCCCCGAGAAGCAAAGAACCAGGTTCTTCCCAGGGTTCTCCATTTTTTTCCTCATTAAAATATTTTTCAAGTCAGCACAAACATAACCAAATTGTACAGCTTTAAAGTTCAAAGCAATATGCATCTAGGGAACGTGCATGTGGCCAGGAGTGAGCGGTGAGCAGCAGCTACGGAACTAGCACAGGCGCCAAGCCCCTTGATGGGAATTCCCACGCCCATTGCACAGGCCCAGAGAGGGAGGGGGGGTGGGGTCCCTGGCAAGTTGCTACACTGGTCCCCTTCCTCATTTAAGCACCACCCGTCCCATCCCACCCTGAGGAACTGGTGTCAGCTTGGCCCAGGGAAGCACTATAGAGAGGGGTCACCTGAGCACCCCAACCCATGATCCACGTTGCACTTTGGTCCCAAGTTGGGGCTAAGGCGGCGGGGCCTGGCAGGGACAGAGCTCTCTGGCATGGGGTAGGGAGAAAGCAGTGGCAGACAGTATGCACACACACTTGCCCACTACTGTTAAATAACAGGGCTGGGTCTGCAGGTGTCCAAAGTGCTGAAAGGAGGAGTCCTGCTCTAGGGGAGGAGGAGCAAATCCCAGGCCTTTTCACTCTTTTTAATGCCAAGAAAATACTAATAATAAGTGGGTGCAGCTTTGCTCGCTGTGAGGCGCAGCAGAATGCCACAGCCTCTCCTCCCAGAATCTAGAAACCTGAGAGGCACAGGACATCTCCTGAAGGTCCCACACAGCTCTAGACCCTATGTCTTATCCTCCACCCTACCAGGGATGACTGTCTACACTAATCAAGGGCTGCTGCCCCCGTGGCTGAAGCCACAGAATGGTACATGAGAGAAGACCGTAATTTCTGAGCAGAAACAGGCAAGCTGTCCCTCCCAGCCCCAAAGAATGGGAACCTGCCCACTACTGGCACCAGGGCCGGGAGCTGGGAGAGATGGCATCCATCAAGGAGCCCTTAAGAAGCTGCATCTCTAAGGACCGGGAAACGAGTCCATCAGTTACCAAGGCCTATCACAGCTGGCAGGCTTTCCTTTAATGCCAAACAAGAACCTGCCTAAATTGACAATCAACAGTGGCCCTAGGCTCCGAGGAGAGGGTGCTAAGGCCAGCAATGGCTGAAATAGGTATCATCTCCTGGCCATCTGTGTTAGAAGCAGCAGGTCTGTGCCATTAAGGGCTGGCAGCCAAAATGACTAAAACCATAAGAAAGGAAGGGCCACCCCTCTAGCCTTCACTGCCCCACTGTGAGTGTGGACGGCCATATTCTAGGCCCACAGAAAGGGTGCTAGGTCAATGGGGAAACAACACCTACAATTTATTCTATCAGGTCTTTATAAAAAAGGCAACAGCTGCGGAGGAAGGGCACGGAGCAAAAGCTCACCTCGGAAACGGGAGAGTGAGCGTTCTGCTGAGGAAAGCATGAAGGAATGAATATACACTAATGAGCAAGGCTACACCCCAGGGAAGGATCCCAAGGGACAAGTGCTGGCAGGTGGACACATGGACAAACTGATGGACCCAGAACTGATCAAAGCTCTCATTAGCAGAATGTGGGCACCAGCACCCAGGGCCCATACCATGTCCCCGTGAGCAAAAAAACTTAAAAAGTTCTCCCTCTAGGCCCAGGGCCAAGAGCGCCTCACAAAGGGCTGCTGCCTTGAGCTTGGCCTGGGCAAATGAGACCCTGAGCGGACCACAGTCCCTAAGCCCCTGGGAGGAGCAGCCTGTCCAGCAGCAGCACAGCTGCCGAAACTTGAGGAGAAAGACTCCCACCCATAGCACAAGAACTGCAAATACTGTCTGGGCCACAGCCACCAGAGGCCCTGAGACCTGCTGGGACACTGACTCTCCCCCACTTCAGTGGGGCAGGAGGGAGTGGCCTTCTTAGGCAAGGGAATTGGGAGAGGCTGGCTGTTTCAGGAATAGGACAGGTGCCTGGGGAACCCAAGGCCTGCCCTTGGCCCTAAGTTGGTCTCAGCCCAGCTTCATTAATCTAGCCCCATGCTAAGGTCAGACCCAAGGATGGGTCCAGGTTTGTGCAGTCAGCCCTGTGATGCCCTGAGGGCACTTATTAAAGAGCTAGCTGACACCCACAACGTTAAGACTGCAAAGCCCCCAAGAAATGGGCACACAAACCCCTCCACTTCTGGGGAACAAGGGAAGAGGGGGCATGGAAGGGCCCTGCACTAGCCCAGGATTTTACCCTACAATCAGTAGGGCCCTGCAGCCACAGCTCTCAGAGATATAAACAGAAACCAATGTCCAAGGGCACCCTGTCCCTGTTGCCAAGCCCACCTGGGGCACCTCTTCCTTCCTAAGGCAGCCTGGACACAGCAGTCAAGAGCCACAAAGCTAAGGAGCCTGGCTAAGAGGATGTGTGTTCTGCCCTCCTTCACTTTATATATATGGATTCCAGGCTATAGCTACAAACAGTTTACATCAAAGAGAAATATAACCCTTTAAAAGCAAGTCTGTGTCCTCACGGTGAGTTCAGAGCAATGGTCCCTGCCTGCGGGTGGAGTGGAAGGGGTTCTGGGGGCCCAGAACAGGGCCTACTGGTTCTCGTCCCGCATCTGTTCCATGATGCTGATGAGGTTCTCCAGGCCAAACACGTAGCCTCTGTCTGGCCCATCATGCACGGTGGGGTCATCCCGGAAGCCCTTGAATGTGCTGTGTGCAAAGTCAATCATGCGGACATCCACCTTGGGCTGAGAGGAGGGACCCGCCTCGGGGCTGGTGTTACTGGGGCTGGTGCTGGGGCCACAGGATGACGCCACCTCAGGGAGCACCATGTCCAGGTGCTTGAGACGAATCTCAGCCCGGCGGTCCAGGCAGGACTCAGCCCGGAACTCCTTGCCATCATAGATGACAAGCAGCGAACTGGAGTAGAAACGGTAGGAGGCCTGACGCTCCAGCACAGCTTTCAGTCCCCGCAGTTTGCTCAGGATAGGTTCAAACAGGTCACGTCGCAGGTCCAGGCCATTGTGCAGATATTGATAGAGGGCATTGCGGAAGCCTTCGATGGAGAGCCCACGGCCATAGTACTTGTTCCTGCAGAGGTAATGCCCTGTGTCCAACTGGTACACCTGAAACCCCAGGAGACAGAGTAAGTACCAGGGAAGTCTGAAGAGCTCACAGTGCCCTGGGCAAGCACAGTCTGGAAGGCACTTTGACCAACCTGAGCTTTTCTGCTCACCTATCTAAGTGGAACCAGGCAGGCCAAATTCAAACTGGGTTTTCCCATTGCAGAGCCAAGAGAAAGCAATACCAGGCCTATGGGTTCCCTGCCACCAGCTTTGGAGCCCTCCTCCAACATCAGAACATCCTGTTGACAGGCAAGAATCTTACTTGTCCCAGTGTCGAGGCAGCAGACTCTCACAGTGGTCCTGCACCTGAGGCCCAGATCAAGGTCAACAGGTAAGGACAGAGGGCTCAGGAGGACACACTTGGCATAGATGGCAGGCAGGTATGAGCACAACCCCAATCATGCAAGTGGCAGCACCTAGGCTCTGAGCAGAGGCAACTCACCTGCATGCCACAGACCCTGACACCCAGTGTGGCTGATGTGCTCTGCTCACACTTCCGCATCTGCCGGGCTGCCTTCTCAGCTGATGCATCATCGCCATGCTGCCGCGTGCCCATCTTCAGATCCAACACACAGGGGTACTTGAAGTGGTGTACCACATTCTCAAGCAGGAGGAACTCTGGGTCATGGTCAAGGAGAATGACAAGCACACTCACCATCACCCCCAGCCAGGAAAGTACAACCCAGTTATTCTATAAAAGGGGCTTTTACCTAATGCAATACGTGCTTGTCTCAGAAACTCTCAAATGTGGGTTTCACACCACTGGCTTATTATTTCTCAACCAAAAACAACTGTAGTAAAATATACGTAAAATTTACCACTTTAACCATTTTGTAAGTGTACAATTCAGTGGCACTAATTATATTTACTTTGTTGTATAACCATCACAACCATCTAGCTCTAGAACTTTTTCATCATCCCAAAATGAAACTCTGTACCCATTAAATGGCAATGAAACAGTAACTCATTTCCCTCTTCCCAGTCCCTGGGAACCTCTAGTCTACTTTCTGTCTCTATAAATTTATCTTTCCTAGGCATCTGATATAAATGGAATCATACAGTATTTGTCATTTTGTGTCTGGCTTATTTCACTTAGCAAAATGTTTTCAAGATTCACGTATGTTGTAAGCATGGATCAGAATTTCATTCCATTTTCTGGCTAATTTTCCATTACATGTATATACCACATCTGGTTTTTGGGTTTTTTTTGGGGGTGGGGGGTTCATTTGTTTTTTAACCTAGGCTCTAAGGCATTTTTATATTTATTTAGAGACGGAAGTTTCATTCTTGTTGCCCAGGCTAGAGTGCAATGG